ATTATAAGAGAAATGGTAGAGTTTACTTTTTTAGATGTTTGGATTTGGGGAAGATGGATAATTTTGTTTTGAGTTTTGAGTTAAAATGGAGTTTAATTTTTGTTTTTTGTTTTTTAATTATTTGAGTTAAAGTTTTTTTTAAACTGATTGCTTTATGAGGTGTTGAATCCTGTTTTAGTTCTGGGAAGTCGGGGAGGGGTTTAAGGGGAAATTATAAATTGATGTAGTAAATAATTATAAGTATATAATGGAATTGTAATAATAAGAGGATATTCCCGGCAGGTTCCCCAAATTGCACTCGATGTGGTGTTAGAAGGTGAAAGGGATGTAGAGTGGTAGGAGGAAAGAGGAGAGGTTGTGGGGTTAGGGGGAGGAAAGAGAGGGAAAGTGGATAAGGGTGGAGGCAAGGCGGGGACTGCCGGGAGTATTCGGAAATATTTTGAGTAAAATTTTTTTTTCTTTTGTGGTGTTTGTAGATGCATCATTTGTATTTGTTGTTTAATTCAAAATAATAAAAATTTTATATACAGAAATTGGGCATACCTAGTGGAAATCAGGCACTCAACTTGCAAGCTCTTTAGTCATTAGAGCATTTCACAGCTTGTTTAAACCATGTGGCATTGGGCTATTTTCATACTTCTATGTTTACATTCCTTTGGTTTGTCTGGCTCCTTTTCCTGCTCAGACTGATCATGTGAGTGCCCTGGAAGTGTGTGAGAACATTACCCTGCTGTTCAAACCAAAAGAATTGCAAGTAAAGACTCTGGATTGTTTGCTTTATTTACAAAATGGAGTAAAGTAGACGTGACCATTTCCTTTGGAGCACATGTAACCAAATGTCTTTGGATTTCTCCTTGAAAACAGATCTTGAACCCTCTGAGCAACTGTCTGGCTTTCTTAAGAACTCCAATTTGTGAATCATAGATATTACTGGTGTGGAGAGAGACCAAACAATGATTTAGCCAAATAAGACAGAAATGGCATCATGCCAACAGTTTATATCTAGAAAATGGTGATTGAATTGAACAGGGTTGGTGGGGGAGGAAAGTTGGGTTGATGAAAAGGTGAGGCATGGAATATTAAAAAGAGAAAGTGTCTTTTAGTGGCTGCTATTGAATGAATAAGAAAGGATAGAATATCAGGAATATGTGTGTAGGAATTCACATCAGCGCATCCAGGATGTTGCAATTATTACAAGAAAACTCATCTAAGAACAATAAATGGTAGATGCTTCCCTCCCCTCATGGTATTCAGTAAACATGCGTTGTATGAATGTATTAATATTTACTGGGCTGGAATTTAGTGAGAGAAACAAAATCTTCTTGGTCTCCAGTTTCTACATCTTAATTCTTAATTCTTGATTCTTTGTTTAGATTATGTCACCTGAACTTTCCTGGCAATTATGAATATGATGATGATTGCTCTGTCATCTCATACCCAAGTAGGAGACAGAGTTGTTACAGTCATATAACCTGGCAACTCTGTTGAAATTTATGGAAGCTATTCTGTTCTGCAGCAAGAGCTGTAAATAAGAAAAAATGTGTTTTCTTAAAAAAAAAATATATGAGTAGTCTTTGAGTTACAACTGTAATGGAGCCTGCCTGTTACAATCATAAATTGTTAGTCACAAAACAATTTTACATTTTTTTTGTGACAGTCAAGCAGAAACTTGGGGATTATAAGTGCAAATGCGGTTGTTAAATGAACCCATTGTTTGCTATGGTGTGGTTTTGCCGAAAACCGGAAATGCTGTCGTAATTTTGGATCCACGTTGTAAGTCCCCTTTTTAAGACAAGTTGTAACTTCAAATGGTCACTAAGTGACTGGTCATAAGTCAAGGACTGTGTATTGCATTTTAATAATTTTAGCAAGGAGGTATTGTTAATTCCATCTTTATTTCCATCTATACATTTATCCTTAGATTGTGAGAAATCCTTGGAAAGGCAGAGTTTTTTTAAAAATCAACAATAACAATATCTGGCTCCCCCCTCTCCAGGGGTTTATATTCACAAAGGTACTGTCTTCATGAATAAAGCCGTGGTGAAAGTACAACATACTTTGCAACATTTTGAGCTGCCTGAAACTAGAAATTACTTCATGTCACTTCTTCTGTCTTCAGATTCACAACAGCAGAAGTAATCCTTGTTGTCTGGCTTAGCAGACCTGCATATAGCCTCAAGTCTGGGCAGCTAAATGACTTTGCAGCTCAGGTTACACTTAAGCCTCTTGGAGATAGAATAGCAAAGATGGATAAACACTTTGCAAATTAGAGTGACAACCAAAATTATGCTAACTAGCTCGTGAGCAAAGATGGCATCCCCCCAAGTATTCTGCCTCCTCTCAGCCAGATCTTTATCCCCAAGACATTTCCTTCCCGTTGCAGGCCTCCCCATCAACCTCTGTGACCTCCCATAGGAGAAAGAGAAAGACGCATCTCCATGTGTTTGGACTGTACAATTTCTGCCTGCAGCTGTACAAAGAGGGATTGTGTCTCCTTAGATAAAAGCAATGGTATTGAGAAGAAAAATTCTAGCCTGACCTTCTCCTGAATATCTTTTACATACACACCATCACAAGCACTGCCTAAAAGACAAAGCTGTGAATCAGGAAATTCCTAGGGCAAGTGTCACCTCTGCTGTGAAATCACTTGGCAACATTAAGGAAATTGTTCTTTCTCCATCTCATCTCTTCATTTGCTAAATATAGATACATTATTTCCTATGCAGGTCAACAGTAAGGACTATAATTAGGTACTACAAGTTGGAGTTTGAAACATAAGACTAAGTGTAAAGGACATAATAATTCACTGCAGAATGTTTGGTCTGTGAACGTTTGCAATTTGAACATTTTCTTTCAGGAATATAAACATATTCTTACAGTGAAATGTAGACATATACAAATCAAAAGATATGACAGATGTAGACAGATGATACTCACACTCAAAATATCACCCTGGCAACTCTTGTACAGAGTAAGGTATGCATATCTGTTGCAATAAGAAAAGTGGATTGTGTAATCCATTAAATCAACTTGTGTTCTCCAGATACGTTAGACTTTCTTTACTGTTTTCCTGCATTGACCACGAAACACAAGAATTGTAGTCCATTATAGTACTGGGCCACTGTAGTGGGAAAATGTGCATTAAAACAGTCAGTTATTTTCCTTCGTCCTATAGTATCCAAGATGTTTTGAAATGGTAACGTTGACTTTGATGAATTGCAGTTCTCCAACTTCTTTCTAAAACTCACTTGGCTTCCATTTTTTGCAGGATATCTTACGGGAGGGTGACACAGATCATGATGGAGAACTCAACTTTGAGGAATTTGCTCAGTACCTTCAGGAGCGTGAACGGAAGTTGTTGCTGATGTTTCACAGCCTGGATCGCAACAATGATGGTATGAAACTCCCCCAAAAGTTAATATGACTTCCATTCTGTCTGAGCCCAAAGTGGAGTCAGCATTTCTTTAGACTCTTCTCCAGCTTAGGGACATGTATTGCTACCGTATTTTCCCAAAATTAAGACCCGGTCTTATATATATTTTTTGCCTCAAAAAGAGGTACTAGGTCTTAATTTCAGAGAATGTCTTATCTTAGGACCACCATAGCCAGGCCTCCCACACCCCGACACCTGTTGCGCCACTGCTTGACTTCTTCTGCAGCTGCTTGCTGCCACTTGCAACAAGACGCCATTTGGCGCATTGCGCCATTTCTGCTCCTCTCTGCAGGACGCTGCATGGTGCTTTGCGCCATTTCTGCTGCTTGCGGCAAGAAGCTACACAGGGCTTTGGGCCGTTTCTGCTGCTTGCAGCAGGATGCCACATGGCTCTTTGGCCATTTCTGCCGGCAGCAGAAACAGACTGAAGCGCCATGCGGCGTCTTGCTGGGAGGAGCAGAAACAGCAAAAAGCACCATGCGGCGTCCTGCAAGCAAAGGAAATGGGCTGAAGCGCCATGCAGCTTCTTGCCGCGAGCAGCAGAAATGGTGCAAAGCACCATGCAGCGTCCTGCTGTGAGCAGCAGCAATGGCCTGAAGCACTGTGCAATCTCCTGCCGGGAGCAGCAGCACTGGCGTGAGGAGCCACGCAGCTTGACAAGTGTCGGGGCGTGGGAAGCCTGGCTGCGGTGGTCCTACCAGTAAGGTAAGTGGGTGCAGGGCGCATGGGGCAGCTCCACACCCCCACCCTAGCTTGATTTTTAGGCGTGCGCCTCACCCCAAAACTAGGGTTTATTTTTGGAGTAGGGCTTATATTAGGTCCACTCCCCCAAAATCAAGCTAGGGCTTACTTTGAGGCTGGGTCTTATAGGTTTATAATTATGCCATTTTCATTTTTCTTTCCTATAACAGACCTATTAATAAAGCCATTGACACCTGTCTTTTTAAAATGTCCTTTAAAATAGCAAGCAATATTCATATACATTCTGTATTGTTTGAGGAGGACCTAACTAAAAAAACCTTCATTTCAGACTTGCAGATCATAAGTATTTAAAGCCGGAATGTAGGTTGCCTGATTTTGGTTTAGCCTGTTATGAACCTAGCCATTGTGGCTTATTCAACAAATCACAGTTAAGGCAAGCTACAGGCTAGCATAGTAACCTCATATTGTGATTTGCTAAATTCATGAACACTGTAACCCAGTTCTTACAATTCTTCCCATGTCACATTTGCCCAGAAATAATACCTTTCTATGTCTGCCCTGATAACAACATATCCTGACTTCTTGTTCTTTGATGCACCTCTAGCCTCATCTGTTTGGTACTCAGTTGATATTTGATGTCCAATTGTGAAAATAGAGATCCAGGGCATAATAAGCGCCTCAGAGTTTCTGTTCTTTTAATCCTCTGTTCTGTTCTTTTCCTGGGTTGAGTTCCAAGAGCCAAGAAGTATCTGCTCTGTTCTACTTCCTTAAAAAAAAAAAAGGATGCCTTATTAACTCTTCCTAAACAGTTCTATGATACAGTATAGACAAGGCTTCTTATAGCCTTGGCTTCTAGCAATAGAAGGCCTTACATATATTATTATTACTACTGCTGCTGCTGTCACAGTTCTTCCAACTTATATCTGACAACTGCAGATTCTTTCAGCTGGCTCATCTTCTCTTTCATAGAAGAAGAAGACACAAGCAGCTACATGCCAGATTTTAGCTGGTGCTGCTTTTTGGTCTAGTTGGATGCAATAGGGCAATCTGAGATGATCAATCCAGATTTAAGGGCAAAACTAAGCATTACCTAGCTGAATATATGTTGTATTTAGCTATGAAAGCACAGGATGTTACTCTCACATCTCTTGCTCATTTCTCTCTGGTTCATGCCTGGAAATAGTGGATTTTTCTAGCCAAAGCTTTTATGGTATAAAATATGTTGATGGACTCATCATTCATATATAATGACCCCATGGGTTCCATATCTGTCGTTTTTATCCACACACATCCCAAAAAAACTAATGAAGAGACAAGCCAAAATGTTTAAAATATGCAGTTGAAAAATCTTTTCTTTCTGTACGGCCTTTCTTGTTACAGAACTATTTTATGTTTTGCCAAGCAAAACTCCAAACAGACAAAGCAGAGATAAATCCATTGAACACAGCAGCACTTACCGCTAAGTTAACATTGGTAGGATCTGACAGGGTGGTTACATAAATACATCCTATTCATTTATTTTTGAATTTGAAGATGTTTCTGAGCTGGATAGAGACATGCAGTTATTATTATGCAAGAGTTGCATTTTTCTCTTTAAAGGAGACATGGAAGTGAACTTGACAAACAACTAATCAAATTTCACTTTGGCCTTTCCCTTTCCTTTTGAAGAAAGAATACTTGGAAACAGTGAACCAACAGTGAGGTAGATGGGGATGCCACAAATTGTGGTTTTATGGCAACTTCTGAAATTGAATAATAAAAAAAAGTCTGAAACTGTCAGATAACTTTTTTAACTGGCCTGTGAAAGTGACTAATGAGAACAAGAAAAAGGAAAGGTTGAGTTTGAAATTGTCCAGATTAGCTTCTCCAACTGCTTTCAAATTGGAATTTCTAGCCAGAAATGGCCCGAACCAGATTGTTAAAGGCTGTGCCAAAAGCATCTGTTGCTAAAGGATGAAGTCAAGGCTCCATGACACATTCTTTTTATATTGCTCGTATGCAGTGCAGATTTGAATCCCTTTTTGAAGCCCTTGTCGGACAACCCTGGGGATTATGTAGCTTCCTATTACATAAGGGTCTTCCCAGTTAGCTTGCAATTTTATTTTCAGCACTTTATGTTTTCAGCCTTATTTCCAGATCTTTCTGCCATATCTTTAAACTGCTGCCTGATTAGCAAACATTAAGCAGGTGCAGTTTTTCCTGGCATCTAAGTAAAGTAAGGGGAAGAGCAGGGGAGAAAGGCCAATATGGAAAAGTTTCTTTATCAACCTTCTTTAAGAGTTTTTAGCACTGGAGATTTAAAACTGATAGTTAAATATGCAGATTGTTAAGGAATGCTTGGGAGAAGCAGCTTGTTGAATTAGGCACCAAATTGGGAGTGAATGCAGAGGTTTCATCCAGGTCTCCTGCATCTTGCACCTAGTGCAATTAATGGAAAAATATGCATATTCCATACTGATCCCTCCCTCTCAACTAATGCTTCTTCTTCTTTGTAAGGTTGCTACACATTCTGTCTCCGTGGTCCCGAAGGTCCTTTCATTTAGTGAGATGGCCACTATAGCCAGCTTCTCTAGTTAACAAGTCTGTTCTATGAAAGCAAAAAAATACAGATGGGCAATTTTCTCACATTCTCAAAAACATACTAAGCTCAAATCAAAGAAACAAGATAATGGCTTACTACAAAGTGGGAATCTAGCCTTGGCTGTTTGTAAAATATAGCTTGCAGCTTGTTGCATTGAGTGAAGCCAGCCAATTACACTTTGTTCAGTAAACTATAATTTAGCATACCAGAGTTTGATAAAATGTGTGAGCCAGATCCATCACAAACTCTTCCTTTTAAAAGAGCTGTCCTACTTGTGAAAAGGGAAAACTCTGTTGCTTCAGTTTTTCTGATTGCTCAGTGTTTTTTCCTGTGGGGCCAAAAATACCGGTAAGCATTTTAGCCCATAGAGAAGAATACAAAGTTGGCCCAGGGGCAAAAGAAACACCATTTGGAAGTAACAGAATCCATGGAATTTGGGAAGGCTGCTCTTCGACAAGTCATGGTTTCTCATGACTATACACACACGAAAGGAGACATTTTGAAAATGACCTCTAGCTCCAAAGAGATGTTGGTTCGGAACCCAGGCAGTAAGCCCTCTTTCTGATGAAATTGTGCTCTTTCTGTAACTCAAGCCAACAGTCATCTTGATGATGTTTCTGAGTGATGCCATCAGTTTGTTTCAACACAAAAACAATTTGGCCAAATTAAAGACCATTAACTGGCTATCCTTCTATCCCATACAGCAGCAATTCTGAATTTTTCCTTGTATTAGCATACAGAGAAAGAGGCAATGTTCTCATCCTTTTCTTTATCCTGTTAAGAGAGCTACAGTATGTATTTGTGTGGGAGCAACTGTGGGTTGAAAAATGCCAAAGAAAGCATCTTTCTAAACTACAGTCTTGTTGCAAAAATACCTAGGGATGTGTGGTATTGCTTGCTTTTAAAACATAATAAAGCACGCAAACAAAATAATCTCACTGGTTTTAAACGTAGACTTAGCAACCATCATTCCACTTTTCATTATTTCCAAGATAAACTACTGCAGTGAGATTTAATGCAGGATTGACCTTGTGGAGGTTTGCCAGAACTTAACTATGCAAAACTTTGTGGATATGCTACACAGGCTGAATCTAAGCAACTTTCAAACTAAATCAGATATTTTAATTAAGCTAGTAGCATTAAAGTGATGAACTACTTTGAAGATGGCATTAAATATTTTTGTCTATTTAATATCATTAGGCAACTGCTTTTTTTTTTTTAAACCATTTTTAATAAAAGTGCATATAAGCAGATGACAATAGATATGCATTTCTTCAATACATAGGAAGAATGCTTCTTCTCTTATGATTTCTTATAGTCCATATATGAGCACATTAAAAATAATATCCTTCCTAGTAGAAAAATATTTGAGATCTCCACAACTTCATTGGTAGATTAATTAACTGATGAGTTTAAATTAATTACAATTTATTTTAATTATGTTCAGTTATATTTAAATTATATTTAATAACATTAGGAACCAAGACTGAGGTAGGTTGAATAATAGATTATTATCTGCCCTGAACCTTGGAGTAGACAGAGTTTATAAATCAAGAAATAGGGGATCTGCAGGACTGAATCAGGATTCTAAATTCATATGGGTGGCCATTTTTACACCGCTGGGGGGGGGGGGAACTAACATGAAACATGATCATTTGCTTAAATTAGAATATGCTAATTGGGAGGAGAAAGATTAGGGCTGTGCAGTGGTTTGGAATCAATTTGGCATTTTAGAATATGGAGGAGTGCAAACACAGCAGTCTGCAGTTTACTAGAACAGCTGGAAGTTTCTTCAAAGGTGCCCCAAGAATAAGCAAGAAGGCACTGTGTTTGTGTTCTGACTGTGTTCTGGAAGCACTTCTTCCCAACTGAATCCAAAGCACAGTGTAGTCCTAGTATACATGCAAATTCTAAAATAACTTCTATCATTTAAATTAAAAACTCAGAAGACTCAACATTGACTGTAAGATTATGAGCAAACATTTGAACATCTGCAGGCCATATATTCAATCAATCAGAATAGAACTGGAAGGGACCTTGGAGGTCTTCTAGTCCAACCCCCTGCTTGTTCACATCTGTCAAGATCTTTTTGGATCCTGAGTTTGTCTTCTGGGGTGTTGGATACTCCTGCCAGCTTAGTGTCATCTGCAAATTTGATGAGTTCCCCTTCTATTCCCTCATCTAAGTCATTTATGAAGATATTGAAGAGTACTGGGCCTAAGACGGAGTCTTGCTTCCATGTGCTGTTAGTTGACTACTGTACGAACAGATTGCTGGACTAGATGGGCTAGGGGCTAAATCCAGTAAGATGCCGTTTATATTCTTAGGAACGTGTGTGTGTGTGTGGGTGTGTGCGCGCACACACACAATGTTGAGCGGGTCTTGATAAGAGTATACAGTACAAAAACTAGAAACCTTAAGGAAGGATTGATTCGTCCCCTCCTTTAGAAACCATCACTGAATCCCACCATAGAGGACAATTTTCTCTCAGTATCTAATTACCCAAGATGGTTGAGAAGATGGTCACACAGCAGCTTCAGAAGACCCTGGATGAAGCAGATTATCTGGACCCCTTTCCATCAGGTTTTAGGCTAGGGTATGGAATGGAAATGGCATTGGTTATGCTTTTAGATTTCTCTGGCAGAGATGTGGTGTGGATGGTGCATCCATTCTTGCTCTTCTTGACCTCTCAGGCCTTCAGTACATCAAACATGGTATACTTCTGGATTGGCCCCAGGGATTGGGGATGGCAGCATTGTATTGTGCTGGTTCTCCTCCTTTCTCCAGGGTCTACTCTATACCAATCAATAGTGATTGGAGAGGAGAGATTCTGTTTTCGCCCCCTGTTTTGTGAAGTCTTGAAGGATTTGGGGCTCTCTCCTTTTTAATATCTACATGAAGCTGCTGGGATGAGATCATCTGCCACCAAGGGTATGGTATCATCAGTAGCCCAGAAGGAGGGAGAGAGAGAGAGAGATCCTTCAGGCTGAATGCAGCATAATTACTACCCACTTATGATAAACTGCTAGCAGAACTGATACAAATAGCTAATCTGTCTAAGGACTTTTCCACACCACAGCTTTAAATTATAGTAGACTCAGCACAAACATTGTGAACATTGCTTTCTTATTTTAAGATGTCTTGAAATAAGGAAGGGTGAGGCAGTATATTTACAGATCTCAAAACAAATGGAAAAGAGGACCTACTAATCCTATAGTTGCTCATTGAACTCAGAAGAATAGCTGATGGCATCTTGACTTAGCCTGGTTGAAATTTCTTATTTTGAACATATTGAACACATCTTGTGCTTCCAATGCTCTATTCCTATTTTTATTCTGATATCTCTAGGGTAATAAAACCTTCTGCACTGAAACTATGCAGTACACCTAATTGCATTCCTAAAAGGCAGGCATTTTTCCTGGTTTTGCCATTTACTGCTTTTTATATAATTGTTCTGATGGAAATGTTGAGGGTTTTTTCTAATATCCGATTAAGGCATTCTTTCTTGAGCTATGCAAATATGTCAGAACCCAGTTCTCATGAACCCCAAGCAGCTTGTTTGGTTCAAGCAACCTCTTTTAGGGATTAATTTGCTAGGATTCTTTACTCTGGGTAAAAACCAAGGGAAGTTTTTGTGCCATTTCCCAATGAATGCAAGCCAAATGCAGAGTGGGTTCTCCTGTCACGCTAAGCCACACAATCAATGGTTACAAATAATAACTTCTGGGCTTACAGAGCATGTCAATCCAGAGCTAAACAGACTACTTCAAACCTTAGCAGGCTGTGTGATTCAAGAAGAGAGTTTGACCTGTTTATGCTAGTCCTCTGTTATACTAAGTACACAGTCTCTGACTCTTTCCCCACTTGGACTGAATGAATTACTGTACAGGCATGCCCTGGCAGCATTTTTTTTTTTTTTGAATGGGCAGGCCGATCCCAGTGACATTTCTTTCTTTTCGTCCTCAGCAGCCCATGAGTGAGATAGACTTAAGTCATCCTTAGTTCCAATATTATTTACAGTAGGTTCAGCCTCCATCTAAAATCCATGTTGGATGGAACACAGGCAAGAAAATGATAAGCAAAATAAGGACTGGTAATGGGATCAGCAGACATCATGCTGGTATAGTTTTATGCTCGCTCAAGTAAAAATGGGAAAAAAGTTTCAGCTCTCCAAATGGGAAAATATTCTGTAAGCCAGGACCATGTTAGTCTTCCTGTGAGAATGGAAGTACTCAGACATTTCAAATGGGAAAATGGAGGTGATTAAAATGGCTGATTTCCCTCACTAGTTATTTTCCCGCACAGTCTTGTTGTCTTGCCAATTCTTGGTCATCTAAAGTTTAGTTCTGTGATGTTTGTTGGACTGTACTCTCCCTCCCAATTCCTATGCAAATGCTCTCCACTCTTCCCAAGTAAAGAGTTGCATCAGTTAGGCTGCTTACGGCAGTCAAGGCTAAATTGATGTTCTGTGGGAATCCTGCAGATTGTCTGATGCCCTCCAAGTGATTCTGTTCCCAATTCCATTATTTCCTCCTTATGCTGACTAGATTAAAAGAGCTTGCAGCCCAGCACAGAGCCTTGGAGGGGCACAGTGTTGTCACAGGGGGTCCTCAAAGGCTTGAAGAAATGTTATGATTTAAATATTGAGTTAAGTCTTGATGGTCGGTGGCCACAATAGGTATTTAAAGGGGATCCACGATGAAGAAAAGGTTGAGAACCATTGAGATAGCACATTAAGAAAATTCTAAGTCCACTAGCAAGCTATGTTTATGACTAAGATGAAAAATATGGCTAAAAACCAGATCGGATAGATTCAAACAGAATATTAAGCTATAATCAACAAACCACATTATGTAATATGTGAACCTCACAAGGAGGATTGTATATCATTCCTATCCTTTACCACTGACCTGTAAACTCTTAGTACTGTACAGATTTGTAAGGGAAAACCATAGGGATTAGAAGTATAAGGACAGGTGCCATTATACTCTTGGCTTGTACTGTAGTTCTCCAAATGAATGTTGCTTAGGCATCTTAATCAGTCTCAGCTATCTGCTACAAAATGTGATTTGTTTAAAACAAAATTACCATCCATCTTTCTATTTTTGCCTCTAGTATTTTTAGGTCTAGTTGAGGAAAGCCTTGCCCTGTCCAAGAATACATGCAGGCATTAATTCATCAGTATTTTGATTTGTGAAGTGCTCTTAGTGCTAAGTTAAAAATTAAAACTACAGAAAAAACAGTATAACCGTAGGCCCATGAAACTTTTGAGCCCTTCTGGAGCCCTTGTAGACTTCTCCTAACCCATCAGCTTCCCGGACTGAGCTCTAATTCCCCAAATGGATAGCCATGCTCCTTGTCTTTGTGTTTATGTTGCAGGCCAGATCGATGTCTCTGAGATCCAGCAGACTTTCCACAGCCTGGGAGTTTACATCTCTCTCCAGCAAGCAGAGAAAATCTTGCACAGGTGAGACCCAAACTGTTCTTGCTTTGCACTCCTCCTATCTCCTTATCCTACAATATCTGAAAGGTGGCTCAGAGATGTCTCACTTTGCTGTGTTGGAATGAAACCTAACAGTTGCATTCATTTCTTTTGTCCAGCTGACCAAAAGGTTGGAGGAGAGGACAGCGCTCAGAGATGATCTGAGGCTTCTGGTTTATCCTACTGGCTCTCAGTGCCTTCCCTGAATCTGAGCATTGTCACATTCATTTCCCTCTGTGCTGACGTAGAAAAATGGAAAGTTAAAATGGCCTGTAAAACCCTGGTGTTTATGTCACCAATTAATAGATTTCCCAAAACTACTTCTCTGAGCATTTTATATATTTTTTTCACCCTCAGAGCTGGATCTGGTCCTGCTAAGTTCCAGCAAAGACACTGGGATTTCTTTTTTGCATTCTATCCTATCATTTGAACAAAACACCCTCTCTGTTTTAGGTTTCCCCCTTATTTCTACAGCGAAGCTTGTTTTCGTAAACAATGGTAGAATAAACCCAACATAGTTCCTTGTCCTCAGTACCGTGTGGGCTTGTGTTTTGCAGCATCGACAAAGATGGCACTATGACCATTGATTGGAATGAGTGGCGAGACCACTTCATCCTCAATCCATTAGAGAACATGGAAGAGATAGTGCACTTTTGGAAGCACTCAATGGTAAGCCATATTTCCCATCTAGCCAGGCCTGGGATTATTGTCTACTATGCCATCCCACTCCACTGTTTTGAAAATTGGCAAGCCAGAGTTACAGAAATAGAAGACATCAGATCCAGTAGGTGAATAGCCCATAGGCAAGTCACATTTCTTTGCTCCGATGATTAGATCTGGAAATATACTGAATACAGCATGGATGTAGCTTTGGGGAAAAGAACCCTTACATCTTTCTTACATTAAACAACTGCATTAGTGTGCTATATGTTTCCCCAGTCTAAACTGAATATTGCCAGCCAGCTGTAATTATTGCCACATATTTGATCTGAAATAACTCTTGTCTCAGATCAGGGGATTCAAGGCAGCTTCTTGGGTGTCCTAAAGACCCTGGCTTGTATTTCCACTGGGGAGAAAATGGCCATAAAGAGCACCAAGAACTTGAATGGGACTATAAGGCTGTTCTTCCACTCATTCTGTAGGGGAGGCGGGGAGATCCTTCGGATGTTATTGGACTATAACTATCCTCATTCCTTACTATGGACTGCAGACCAACATCATCTTGAGGACTCATTATAAGATTGGGAGAGTTTTATGAATAGAATTTGCATTCTCTTTATCAAGTAGAGATCCTCAGATGAGGCCACTTATTAAGGGAAAACTGGAGGAAGGGCTCAGGGATGTCACCTTATTGGGGAGATGAGTGGCATATACATTTAATACATGATAATACTTTGTTGGCTTTGGGGGAACAAATTATTCTTTAGAGCATACATTATTTGAGTGAGAGCTATCCAAACATGAGTGCTTTCTTTTGCATTATGTTCCTGCTTCTCTGTTTTTGTTATGGGTAGAACTGCAGGGTAGCATCCCCCCCAGTTTGATCCTCTTCAGTGTTTCATTGCAAAGAATCCTGCCATATCCTATCCACACTGCTGGACAAGACATGATGGGAGGTATTCTGACTTATACATATTTAACCCACCCACCTCAGCCTCTTTTTCCTCCCACCCTGCTCCTGATCAATCCTCTGAACACGATTAAGCTGTATGTGTAGATGCTTGCACCTTTTAAAAATGTTTGAACACTAAATTCTGGAATTGCAAAATAACCTCTCTATTCTATTTTCCTTGCTGTGTCTTCATGTCATAATCATTATTTCTGTTATATGTAACAGGTGAAAGATGCTAATGTCAAGAAACTTACAAGAGTTTTTGTCTTTGTTATTCCTTATGTCCAGATAGGTCCTCTTTGTTAAGAGAAATTGTAGATTGACTGCTGTAGTTCAATGGTAGCATTGTAGGCATTCTCACAAAATTTTAAAATGCATTATTAATGCCCATTTTGATTTGAGGCAGGGCATGGGTGCCACATTGGATGCTAATAGATGCTAATGGATGCATTATGTTGCTTGCACTAAAATAACATTTAGTTTACAATCTACGTTTCAAAGCTGACTTTAAACCACAAGCCTCCTGGCTAAAGCACACGTTCTAATTTGGGAGATTTTATTCACAAACCCGAGTGGCTGAATTCTGCCATTTAAAAGCAATTACATTTCTTCCAACTGTGAATTTTACATTTTTTTTCCTACATGGAAAAGGTCTGTCACCCCCCCTCCCCCCAATTAGAAAGTCTGTGCAATTTTGGCAAATCAGTCAAGAAACAAGTAACCTGGAAATTTATCTTATATTTGCTTACTTCTTTCCTGCCTTCCTGAATGCTGCAGGTATTGGCTGGGGTTGAAGTCTGTAAGCACATGGGGGCTGAATGTGTTAAAGTGATGTCTTTCCCCAACTTGGCAACATTAAGATGCCTGGCTTTAAACTCCTAGATTTCTGGGAGTTGTAATCTATACATCTTAAAAGTTGCCAAGTTTGAAAAACGCTGTATCAAAGGGATCTTTATGACCTAAGCAAGGAATGCATTTATGGAATTTAGAAAACAGGTAGTCCTTGACTTACAACAGTTGATTTAGTGACTGTTCACAATTACAACAGCACTGAAAAATGTGACTTAGGACCGTTTTTCACAGTTACAATCTTTGCAGCATCCCGATAATCACATGATCAAAATTCAGATGCTTGGCAATTGATTCATATTTATGTTGCTGTGTCCTGGGGTCATGTGATCATTTTTTGTGACCTTCTGACAAGCAAAGTCAATGGGGAAACTGGATTCACTTAACAACCAGGTGACTAACTTATCAACTCAGTGATTCACTTAACAACTGTGGCAAGAAAGGTTGTAAAATGGGGCAAAACTCACTTAACAAACCTCTCAGCAACAGAAATTTTGGGCTCAATTGTGGTTGTAAGTTGAGGACCACCTATATTTGGGGGAGTGGGGGTTATTGCCTTTGATTTAAACCAGCTTTTTTCTTCCATCACCAGCCAATCAGTTTTGTTCCATCTAGAATTATCAGGGAATGCTGGGATTTTTCCTGACCACATGCTTGGAATGTCTTCTTTCTTTTCTTTTGGAGAATTGAACAAAGATCCTTTAATAGTAAAGCCATCTGATGGTCTCACTCATGTAGCAGAGGCCATTATTTGCCTTGGGCAAGGGGTATCTTGATTATATTTGGATAGATCCTTCACAGTAGAATTCCCCTAGTATGGGAGTGGCTAGCCTTGATTTTATCTTTGGTTTTGATTAGTAGGCCCTCTCATTGGAATGAGTGCTATTTGCCTTACGCAATTTTTGTGGTCTTTGTAATGGAGCCTGAAAACTCTTTTTACAATGTGCCAAAACTCCATGTATCCATTCCAAAGATTATGTTTGCCTTTGATCTGGGTTTCCAAATACATGTGTCCCTGTGAGGGATTGCTTCATTGCAGGATCCTCTAGGAAAAAGAGGCTCTGGAAATTTGTTATCTCTGGGCTGGCTACTAGCCAAGGTTCTCTATCTTCTCACCCTGTTAATCTCATCAGTCAATTGAAATAGGGCAGATTAAAGTTTATATATAAACAAAAAGTCATCTGTAGCAGATGTGCTGAGAACAGAGAAAGTAGAAGTTTCCTAGGTAGAAGTCAGGAGTGCATGCAGCCTAGTCAGATCTTAGAAAAACTGTAAGCTACCAACCATCATGTATTTTAAATTACACTCAACATACAATGACTAGGACAGGGAGTTTACCCTAAACTAGGATTGTCTTGGAAAAACTGGGATGTCTGATCATCTGATCTCAGCAGAAGTATTCTTGTTTTGTGTTGTACTTTGAGATTGATAAGGATAGAAGATGGTTGAAATTCCAGTCCTTATTCATAGTACTGAGAAAATAATGAGGAATCCATTGATTGGAATGGAATGGAGACCAAAAGACAGTTCATGTTACCAATGGCATCTCCATATCTGCTGACAGGCTTAGGGAGATGTATGGAGTCTGTGTGCAATCCATGGGAAGGTCTGCGAAGCCCCATTTCAATGAATTAACATTTTGTGTTAAAATAAAGTTAGGAAAATGTCAGATGAATTATACCCTACATTCTATTTGGTGAGAGCCAATCTTCACTTGCATTTGCTTTCTTCTGCATCAAAATATCTCAAGTCCACCACTTCCCAAAGATCTGTTTCTTTCCCAGCTTCTGATTTTCTGCTTGGATTGGAGCAGGTCCATTTCTTATCATGTGGCTGTAATCCACAAATGCTGTTAGGATTGACTCTTTAAGTCCCTCCCCGTCCACTTTTAGCTCTTCAATCCCATTAGAAGACTGCTGGAGCGCTTGGTTGCGTCCCTTTCTTGCCGCCTTCTCATCTTGCCTATCATGGAAAAGCTCTTTTCTATCAGGAAGGTACCCAGTGCCTCAGGGATCCATAGTGATGCAAAGCTGCTGACCCTGGTAGAACTGTGGGAGGCTGACCGTCAACACTGCAAAGGCTTGGAGTCCATTGTGGGGGACTTTGATCTGGTAGGTCAGGCAATGCTTCCTTCTGCAGTATTTTTCCTCTTTTGCTCTGCACTCCAAATTCCTTAGGTTTCTACTGTAGTTCTGTTGCCCTCCCTTTGGCTCACTGAGCCGCCTTGATTGTTTATGTCTTATAGCTCATCATAAAAACAGGAATACAGGGTCTTTGGCAGGCCCGTTTATGGAAACTGGGTTCCATGCAGAATGAATTTGTTCTTCTGGTGTTGGTAGAAAAAAGCAGCACTTGAGTCTGTTTTGCTCTTTAACAGGGCCCTTAACAACACACAACAAAGGAGCTAACGATCTCGGTACACTACCTATACCTTCTTCACTTTCTGATAAACGCTGAAGCAGCTGGTTTCTTTATATAATTCTTTACATAATTATGTAATTTTTGCAGTTGATTGGGATAAATTCATTGGTTTGTTACACAGTATTTTTATTCTACCTTTCCTCCAAGGAGCTTATCATAACAACATTTTATCCTCAAGATAACCCTGGGAATCTATTCTTGCCCCAGATCATCCGTGAGAGCTTCCTGATTGAGAAGATATTTTAATCTGGTTTTTCTGGTCTTTAAGTTGCCCGTATTGAATCAATTTACTATCCCAGCTGCACTGTGTCATTCTGTTCCCTGTGGACCTGTGCATTTCCAAGACCTTTAAAATGAAAAGTAATGTTAAACTAATTTGTTTTGCCATAGATGCTCTGTTTGGTGTTTTTAAAGGAACATTTTGGATAGGAGGGCAATGTTTTGAATTGGCAGGATTCACGATAGGGGGTGTATTGTATTTAGACAATTAAATTTATAATCTCATGGTGATTCAGTCTCAAGTTTTTCCTTCTTTTGGATTATTTCATTTTCCATCCTTGAGCAGGAAAAAGACTTTAAACTTGTGATATTGAGAAAGGAGAAAGTACGACTAAGGAAACCTCTAAGGATTAATGCCAAAACTGAGAGGACCAATGGGTAGAGACCAAGATATTTTAACTACTTAAAAAAAATAGATAAGGATATACATTGAGGCTTATGACTACTTTAATATGATAGTCCAGTGGTGGTGAACCTATGGCATGGGTGCCAGAAGTGGTACTTGAAACCCTCTCTGTGGGCACACGTGCCGTTGCCGCAGCCTCACCTCCCCCCACGACCCCCTCCTCTCCAGAAGCCCCCCTGAAGGAGAGTCACCCCCGAGTGTGGCCCACACGGAGCAGCGCAGCCAAGGACATGGCAGCCAGGCAGCATAGACAAGACTCTGCACTCACACTCCATCATGTACAGTTGATGCTACAGGGCGCGGGCAGAGGGCGTGGCTGCTGTAGAGCTGCTGGGCTGCCTGGGCGATCTGCGGTGGGCCCTGGAGGCGGTGAGTGGTCCTGTGGGCAGGCAGGGCAGGGCATGGAGGGGCAGAGCAGGGGGGTGGAGCGGGAGCGGGGCCAGTTTTTGGACACTCGGTCTCTAAAAGGTTCGCCATCACTGTGATAGTCCATGCCATTTTTTATAGCTTTTTGCAAAATAGTCTGTGTGCCAGCCTGATTTTCATTTTTCATTCAGTGATGTGAGTTCTTGAGCACAGTGCTTTCAGTCGCATTTGAGCAGGATTCTCAACAGGTCGTCAGCTAATCAGACACAGCTTCATTTGTGATTTATAACCCCTGATTTAGCTTGGGATACAGACTGCGTTAATTCCATAATCAGAAATCTTTGGAAACAGGAGTGTAAGAAGGCCCAACAGCAGCATGTGGTAGGAAAGCTTTGCATGTCAGTGCAAAAAAGGAGAGGCCAGAATGTGAGAAGATGAATATATTTCTAGTGACTTAATTTGGTTGAAAAGTTTAAGGAAATGAAGTGTTAGAAGATAGGAATAGAACTTGCTTTTTGAGCAGTTATGCAGAGTAGTGATCCCCAGCATATTCTGACTCTGGGTTCATCTTCAATTCCAGCAATATAACAAACCAAAATATCAATAGTGTTTGAATTCAGTACAGTGAAATTTGAAGATGAGTTCCTTTAGAATATTTGCCCATTACTTTTGACTCTAGCATATTTCCCCTAATGGTATATCTAAATAAAGTGCTTGACCCCTTATTATTTTTCCCTTGTTTTGATAGGTCCTTGACATTGGGGAGTGCCTCACTGTTCCTGATGAGTTTTCTGAGAAAGAGAAGAAAACTGGGATGTGGTGGAAACAACTCATAGCTGGAGCTATGGCTGGTGCTGTCTCTAGGACTGGAACTGCCCCGCTGGATCGATTGAAAGTTTTCATGCAGGCAAAGAACTAACAAAGATTTGAGGTTGAGAAAGGAGAGAAATGCAAAGGAAAGGGGGGGGGGGGCTTCTTGGGAAATTATCTTTGTAGGTGTAGTGAGTTGTACAAATACACATCATTTGTGTGCTAGATGACTTTTCTTGTCTGCCTCATCATTGGCACAACTGGGCTCTTAGCAGCTTGCCTACCTACCTGCCAATCAAAGCAAGGTTTTAATAGAGAAGAAATGCAGTCTTCTCCATTTGAATTGTATGCTGAATGATAGATAGGTGGGAGCAAGCGTGTGACTCAATAAGAGGTTTGAATGTTAACAAAATAACAGAGCTGGAAGGGATCTTGGAAGTCTTCTAGTCCAGAGGTCCCCAACCTTTCCAGTTTGGTGGCCCAGAGGGAAAGGGGCGAGCAGGCAAATTTGCACACGTACACATGCACAAATAGGGCCACTAACGCCTGCACGCATGGGCAAATGGGGCTGCTAGCATGTGCGCGCACTCACCAGCCATTCCTACGGCCCAGTGGCCGACAGGCCATAGACTGGTACTGGGCCACGGTCCACAGGTTGGGAACTCTTGTTCTAGAATCTAGTCCAAACCCCTGCTCAGGCAGGAAACCCTATATCATTTCAGACAAATGGTTGTCCAATCTCTTAAAGAGATGTTGTGAATGAACACATGTAGTACCCCCAAATTGTCATTCCATCCTGTCACCCTTGAATGCAGAGAGGCTTATCTGCAAGTATCACTGCAGCAAACAAAGCCAATGTACTCTTTATATTCTATAATTCAGAGGCTTCTTCAACTTTCTAAATATTTGGAAGATGAATGTGTAGCTCCTTCCCCTTTTTCAGCTTGAACAGTATTGTTGTTAACAGATTTGGTGAATAAGAATTATTATAGTTACATCATGTTATGTCTTTCACATCACCATTTTTAAAGGTCTTAAAAGGTTCTTAATAGCCCTCCAATGCTATAGTATTTTCACTGCTTCCTCCCCATATAATACAGGGTTATTCTTGTTTATGCCGTCAACAAGAGCTCCTCATAGAGGAGGCAGGGACTAACTTTGTGTCTGCACCTTATCTGCAGGTCCATGCATCAAAGAACAACACCATGAATGTGTTTGGTGGACTGAAAGGCATGATTCACGAGGGAGGCCTGTGCTCGCTGTGGCGGGGCAATGGCATCAACGTTCTCAAGATTGCACCCGAATCTGCCATCAAGTTCATGGCTTACGAGCAGGTATGGATTTGAAAGATGTCTGTAGCTGTGTACACTAATATCAACAAGCGAGCCGCAACCACTGCAGCTTTCAAAGTAAAGGTGTTACATGACAGTGGATGACATTCCTTCTCAGTTGGGATGGCATACTTCGTACTGGCCATAACTTGCAAATGTTGCAGCTCCATAATAGAAATTGTACTAGTCCATCCTTTACAACAAGGCAGAGGATGATTGTTGCTAGCGTCCCCTATTTTTGAAAAGCAACAGCCAAATGTGAGCAAAGGCTTTCTTAACCAGACTTCTATAAGCTCTTCTTAAAGAAATCGTGAATCCAGAAGGAGCCCCAGATTACAAGCTTGCTATTACAGCAGGACTAGAATTTTTTTTAGAGCCAAATACCATGCTTTCTGTTTGGCATTCTCCCTTGGTAATCTGTTGCCAAAAGATTAGTAGTTAGATGATTGGCTAGGACTAGGAGTCCTCAGATTCAACTTTGCATTCTGCTATGGGAGCTCACTGGATGCTTTGAGACAAATTGTTAAGTTCAGTATCTTCTAAGAATAAAATAGGAGAAGGAAGTCTGGTGGGTGCTGTCTTGAGCTCCTGGGGAAAAAAATTGAGAAGCAGACTAATCAATAACAAAAATTCTATAAGTTCCAACATTTTCTCCTCCAACCTAAATATCAGCATTTCAGCAAAACAAAGCAACTGATCTAGCCAAGGTATAGTGAAGAGTAATTCTGTTAAGAGTTTCATTGCTTATTATTGAAATCCCTACAGAAATTGATATCCCGGTACAGCAACAAACCATTCCCGATATAAAATGTAGTAATTTCTTATGCATGCTGTCCTTACTCAGTTAATTGAGATGAAAGTAGAGGAGTCTCCAGTCTATCTCTGTCTAAATCCATTGCTTTTCTTTGCAGATAAAGCGAGGAATTCGTGGGCAACAGGAAACTTTAAGGGTACAGGAGAGATTTGTTGCTGGCTCGCTGGCTGGGGCCACAGCACAGACCATAATCTACCCCATGGAGGTAAAATTGCCCCTTTGGTACTATAGTGTCTGAAGGCCATGCCCTCTACTTTTTAATCAAAATGTATACTCCTCAAATAATTCCAGGCATGTGTTCAAGCCAAACATCACCACAGGGTCAGGTTTAGGCTTCAGCTAATTAAAAAGTAGTTTTCCCTTATATTTGCATTTGGCATTGCTTGCAACACAAAATGTTCAGATTTCCTCTTTCCTTGTACCAAATTTTTTGCACTGCATACATTGGATTTGGAAGTGTCTCATAAAAGCTAATCTTTCTTCTGATCAGCTGCTTCTGGAAAAATGGGGGACCCCATTGAACTTCTTTATCCATCTTGGTGACTGAATAAGCAGATGGACTCACCTGAGATGTCTTCTGATTCCTTCCATGGTAACTGAAGGAGGGCTCTCTGCTTTACATCTCCACTCTGGGTTTTCAGAAACAAGGATTGCTGCCCCGTCTGAAATTACTCCCCAAACCAAGACCGTTATAAATTTCTTTAACATGCTTTACTGAAATTAAAATGGTATATGAATTTCTGCAATTATATCCAATTTAGTACCAATTTATTCCCCAATAATTTTAGATGTCTTCTAAAATGTCTTTCTTAAATAATTTTCTTAGTCTTTTTCTAGCAGTTTGTGAGGAAGTGATTCTTTTCAGCAATAACGGAGGGTTTTGCAAGTTTCAGTTTACAAAAGCATCTCCAGAATCCTTATGGCTTATTATGAACTGACCATTCAGCCAGAAGCATATGAGCATAGAATGTTTCTTAGATTTAAGAAATGAGTGAAATCATTGGAAATATGGGCCATTGTGATGATAGCAGTAGGAAAAATAGGTAAAATAGATAAATTAAGAGCTTCAGGCAAATGTGAACCCTCTTCAGCAGATGGCACTAAGTAGGTTCATTTGAATAAAAGATATGAGAACTCTAGTTTTGCTCTGGTAATAATAGTGCTGTTTTGGATGGTGCCCAACCATACTTTACCAAATGACTTTTCCATGATTTATTAGGATGAATGAGCATTCAGTCTGCTTACTTTATTATATAGTATTAACAGCGCATGTGCCTCTTTAGGTAATGACATAAGCCAGTCAAGTTCCAGCTCAGAGTAAATAGCAATTTTAATCTCATGCTGAGAGTTACTCAAAGGTTGGTAGGTAGGGAGGAGAAGGCATTTACCTAACTGTGGATCCCTTCTTAAAACTGCTGGTAGAGGCTCAGAGATGCAGTTCATTCCAGGTATGATAATGTGTGGGGTTTATGTGTGCTATTCCTTTCTAGCACCTTCCCCATTAGTCTTAGTACACCTTTTTGATATAAAATGAATGGGGTATGTATGCCCAGTTTGCCAGCTTGAAATAAGATTTTTTTGAATTGGACTTGTAGTTTACATAAAGCTAATGTCGGTGAGGAGAAAGTTGAGCACTGCAAGAATGGATATGTCAGAGCTGTTCTTCCCAGTACATTCTTTCATTCATGAGAAAACTTAGGCAGAATTCATAATATTTCAAAATGTATTTGCTTTCTATCTTGATTCCCTGTGTTTGGGAAGGAGAGGGGCACAGAGTGATCTTAGTACCAATACCAGAGATATATGTCATGAGTCTTCATTTCCAATTTATTCTGGATATTAGCTAAATGCTATCCAGGAAGTAGTATTAGCAGACCAAAACCCAATTTTTGCTTGTTTGTACGTATTTAGATTATTTTTAATCTGCTTTTAGTCATCGTGATTTTCAAGACATGATACAGTTACAATACCAATAACACAAATAATGTAAAGCACCAATAAAATAGAAACAGTAAAAGAAGCTAACAAAACAGTAAAAGAAGCTAACATAAAATCATATCTAGCATTTAAGTAAAAGAAGCACAAAACATTAACTGCATATTTTAAAAGCCCACTTTGTTAGACATCTGATTACAACACCCAGATGCTATCATCAAAATGGCATCTTGAATGTAGCTTAAACATATAACTTCAATCAACAAAACTCATGTTTATATATGTTCTACAATTAACCTGGCTGCCATAAGATTAAGTGAATTATAGTTTCCAAATAACTGTCACAGATAAACTGATGCAGTAGAAGATATAGGAGTTTAGGGCCTGTGTTCCAATTCCCTTTTTCCCCCTGGAAGTGGCTAAGTTAGTACCTAAAGTTGATAAAATGTATTCTTGGTCACCACCACAGCCTGAGCATGCAAGAGGCATCCAGTATCCTGAAGTATTCCTGATTGAAAAATGGGTCTTTTATGGAGATTATGACCCCCAACAGAACTAAATTATTCCACATTTCACAGGAATTCAAAATGCCTATCATGGGCAACCCTAATTCCTAAACCCTATCTTCATCCAATTCATTATCAATTTCAGATGTTAGCTTCGTAAATAATTTGTATCACCAATTTCAGATAGAATAGATTGCTTAATATGTATTTTTTTCTAATTAGGAATTCTTAAGTACAAGATCTGGGCGATAAAATAAAATAATAGAAAAACATTGTCAGTTTAAGTAGAAACAACTGAATTGACAGCTGTTTATCTTGGAAACGCCATTCCTTTTTTTTGCAGAGGTAGGGAGCCCCATTCAACAAGAGTAGCATGAGATGGATCATAACCAAGATGGTCTGGGCCAATCTTCTTTTAATTGACATCTTACAAGGCACCAGGAAAAAGAAAATGCTTGCTTTATTTCTGAACTAATCACTTGCAGAAGATTCTTGAAATTAGGTACAGGAAGGTGTAAAATTAGAAGGAACAGATGCAGATACCGAGACAGTGTTTTCTTGTTTAACATCTGGTTCATTACTTTTTCTCCCCCTAGGTTATGAAGACACGACTGGCCCTTGGCAAGACAGGCCAGTATTCAGGTGTGGCAGACTGTGCCAGGAAGATCCTACAGAAGGAAGGAATCCCTGCCTTTTACAAGGGCTACCTACCAAATATGTTGGGCATTATCCCCTATGCTGGTATCGACCTGGCAGTTTATGAGGTCAGTGGTTGGGCGTGGGTTCAAAGAATAAAGGAGCTATCCAAGGGAGAGGCTATGCTGACATGCTCTTTCCTTTGGACCACTTTTTGAGGATTAGCTATTCATCCTTATTCACAGGTAAAAGAGAGTTCCTACCAGTGGCTTCCCTCCCTTTTCTGCAATGTATTTGTGCTTGGGTTTTGATGTCCAGATCACCTTACCCCCTTTCTCACATTTCTCACCAAAGACACTGAAGAACACCTGGTTACAGAAGTACAGCAAGAACACTGCTGACCCAGGAGTTTTGGTCCTCTTGGCCTGTGGCACTGTCTCCAGTACCTGTGGCCAAATTGCCAGTTATCCCCTAGCCCTGGTGCGAACCCGGATGCAGGCTCAAGGTAAGAAAGGAGCATCCTCAATGGAGAAGGTTGACAGCCATTATAGGTGGGATAACCGTTACAGGGAAGACAATTAAGCATGAAATCTTAGTATCAGAGGAGTGGACATAGGGGAGATTAGTGGGAAAGAAACTGAGAAGGAAAATGGCATAGGAAAGGTAAATTAAATGTTCATCCTGGGCCTCATTATTCATCTTAAAACTAACAGGTCTCCAAATCTGACCTGTATGTTCATGGTTGTCTATTCCTCCAAGAAAAAGGAGGAATCAGTTTTCAACATGAGGGGCCAGGTTGTTTTCTCTGTTGATTATCTTTAGGTCCTGTTCGAATTCTGGCATGCAATACTTTCAGTCTTGATCTGTCAGTCCTTCTCCCTCTGCACAAACTCTTAGGCTCTGTCCTATGGGTTTGAGTTCAAGCCATGTAAGACCTGGTGACCCTATTCAAACAAGGCTCTCTGAATTTCACCTGCTTTATCAGGTATGTTTTGACAGGCATCCTACTAATCTTTCCTCTCTTTTTCATTGGCTCTCTACAGCATCAATTGAAGGTGCACCACAGCTAACCATGCTGGGTCTCTTTAGAAACATCCTTTCCCGAGAAGGGGTCCTGGGCCTCTACCGTGGCATCGCCCCCAATTTCATGAAGGTTATTCCTGCTGTCAGCATCAGCTATGTCGTGTATGAGAATATGAAGCAGGCTCTGGGGGTAACATCCAGATGAAGGAGGACCCTGTGTTGCCAAAGGGCAGGGGACCTACCTCACAAGAAAGGTTTTGGAAGGGCAGCAAAGATGGGGATATCCTACTCTAATTGCTGTGAAATGGAGAGCTAAGAGGGTGTTTGGAATGACTGGGTCCAGGCCACCTTGGTCAAAAGTATAAACTTTTCCATGATCAAGAGCCAACTTGCTCACTAACAACCAAGTTTATCCTGCAAAGGCCTTGGTTGGGAAAAAAAACAGGTAACCTCTTGGAGGTATTTTTTTTTTCTTGCCCACATTCTGGAATTTGCAGAGATGGTCTCATCAAACAGACCTGCTGCTCCTGCGTATACATCTTGTGCCCCAAAACTGAACATAAGAACCATGACACATAAACAGCCATATCATAATCCAAGCAGATAAGTTGATAATGATTGCTCTGGAGGTGTTGCCAGTTTTCAAGCAATTGCTAGTGAAATGGGTTGACTTTTGATAAATAGCCCTACTAACTCACGTTAGCTGTTTCCAATACTGGAGGAAATACATTCAGAGACAATTCATTGACGGCACTAGAATATCTGTGATTATTCCTTGGAGTCCACCAATTTTTTTCTGCAGACATTCAGAAACAGGAGTATCTGAATTTTTGAGGACTTTGGCCAATAGATCACATTCTTTATTTAGCATTTCTGTTTGCAATGATGAATTCCTTTTGACTTTTCCCTCTTCCATACCTCGTCCTAAAACCTATAGGGGTGCTGGAGCACCAGCTATTTACATTTTAGCTCAGATCCACTTGTCTCTGTACAATGGAAACTGTATATTTTGCACATTGACTGTTTTTAACTTATAAGGCTAGATTGCTGTCTCTACCTGGACCTCTGTGGCTGAACTGAAGCCTCTCCCATTTTATCCCTATTCCCTTTCCTTCTATTCTGAGGGAGCAAAGAATGTTGGAATACATTACAAGGGCTACTGATTTGTAGTAACCATCAAAGCACTTTGCTCAGATCCCCTAATATGATGTGTACATATTTCTACTCTTTTTGAGATATTTGCACTAGCTATACCAGCTTCGTTGTTTAAGAAATGCCATAATTAAGGTCCGTGAAGCCATGCATTCAGGATTTCTTCGGGCTCTGCTTTGTATTGCTCTCCTCTTTTATTTATGACCAGCTGAACTACATTGCAGTTGGGCATTCATTTTTTCCTTTTTGTTGGAAAGTTGGAAAAGGCAGGAGGGAGGCTATAAACCTATTCAGTCCACAGATCCTCTTCTCACAAAACTCTCTCTCTACCAGTGTCTCAATAAATGTTCCACTTTGTCTTCCAAATGGGTAACCTGCTACCCATCTAGATATCCTGCTGGAGAAGGCCAGCTCCGTTGTGTTTCTCAGTCGCGTTTCTCCGCCACCATGTCCAGGGAAACAAAAGTTTGTGGGACTAAAAAAAAAAAGTTCAATCAGACCTTCCAACTTCTCACAAAAAAAAAAAAAATCTCACGAAGTTGGAAGGTCTAATTGAACTTTTTTTTTTTTTTTTTAGTCCCACAAACTTATGTTTCCCTGCATGCAGCAGCCGAGAAACACGATGGAGAAATACAACGGAGCTGGAAATCAGGTTAGTGAAGAAATGCTTGGGGGAAGTGAGGGCATCTGAGCGGTGGTGCAACAAGCTCTCCAGCTCCGCAGTGGCAGAGAAATGCAACACAGCTGGAAAGCAGATGGCAAGGCAAACCCTCCAAGGGCACCAGGCACCAAAACGGGCCCGTCTCTCTCCAGCAGCTGCCCAGGCCCACTGGAGGGAAGGCTGGCATCAACTGAAACACGGCAGCGTTCTGGCTCTGGCGGGGAAAGGGCAGCTGGCATGGCGCTGCATGCAGGATGCCTGCTCGCTTCAGCACCCTCCCTGACCCTCCGGGGCTCCGCCGGTGCTTTGGCCCTGGGCTGCTGCCTCCCTGCTCTTGGGCAGGCTGGGCCAGGAAGGTGGCCCCCTGTTCCGCCCAGAGGAGTGTCAGCCTGGCCGCTACCGCCCAGCACAGCAACCCCAGGGCTGCAGGGGCTGGCCTGGCACAGGAAGGGCACCTGCGCCCCCCCCACCTGAACTCTCTCATACCTTTAGTTGGTCTCCCCCACACTCCGAGGTTGGCCCAATCGCCACCACGCTTCGAAGCTCTGCGTCTCCACCCCACGCACTGACCATGCTCTGCTGTTTGCACCAAATGTCGCCCCGCCCCCCACACGCTCGCCACCTGCTGTATGTAAGAGATCCCCCAAGAATAAAACCTAATGGGTCTTTGGGTCCAAAAAAAAAATAACAGCCGCCTTATTTTTGGGGAAACACGGTAACTGGCAAAACCAAGTAAGCAAGAGCAACATGGATTTCAGGAATATATCTTTCATGTTGTTCTGTGGGAGGATACAGAATCTTGAAATCTGTTAGGGTTGAGTCTCTGAAAATCTTTTCCCACATCTGGACATGTTGCCTCTTCTCAGATAAACCAAATCCTTGTCCCCTGCTTCTATGCAATCTCTCACACCAACCAGTTGCATTTGAGAGAATCACAGCCATGAATGGGAGGGTAACCGACCTAGTCCACTGTCACTTTTTAAGAACTGCTGTTGCCTTTTCCAATCTGATGTCCTTCGGAAATGTTAATTACGGTTCTCCTCATTTCCAGCAAAATATGTTGAAGAAAGCTGCAATGGTGGATACACTAAATGTTCATAATTTCACTCATAAAAGACCTCCTATGACTTTCAGAATTTGAGTCATATCCTTGAAAGACTAGCATCTGAGTGTCTGCCATGATTGTAGCAGTACTAGAAGTAGGTTGATGCAGGTGGGAGAGGAAGGCACCGCAAGAAGTGAACGCTCAAAAATGGGAAAGGGTTTATGCTTTTGTTAGACTATAGTGCTACTTTAGTTTTAGTTACATGCAAGAGGTAATCAGATGGGGAATCGGCACTTCCGTTTGAGAAAAGTACCTCATTCAGTAGATAGAAAGAACCCCTTGCAAGTAAGGCAGGATTCTTAGTTCCTCTTGGAAGGTCTTATAAGACGCTCCTTCAAATGAGGTGCCAAGGACAGTGGATGCTGAATTTTGCCCCACTATAGAGCTTTCAGTGGGATGTTTGCTACAGTCCATTTGCCTATAAGAGAGTGAATTTTGATCATGTATATGAGCTTGCCATTCTGTAAGATCTACCTTACTTGGTTATTAAATGTATGAATGAGAAACCAGGATAGCAACAGCACCTCTAAACTTATATACCACCCCATAATGCTTTACAGCACTCTCTCTAATGTCAGCATATTGGCCCCAACAATCTGAGTTTTTTTTTACCAACCTCTGAAGGATGGAAGGCTGAGTCAACCTCGAGCTGTGGGCAGAATTAGCCTGCAATACTGCTTTCTACCCATTGCGCCACTAGGCTGAGGATGATACAAGGAGATTTCTCCAGGGAGAAAGAAAGGTGAAGAATAGAGAAAGATGCAATGCCTTGCACAATAGGATCATGTCCTTTCTAAGCTCCTTTCATCTGGGAAATGTTAACATTTTCATTGGAAATACTGTACATTTATGAGTTTATTAAAATAAGGGTAGGATCCTACACCCATTTATTTAGCATTAATATCATGAACTAAATAAAACTTACTTCTGAATGGGCAAGTCCAACATTGTATTTGCTTTGGTGTATTGATTCGGTAGGTAGGATAGGCAAGAGTTGGCATGTCAGAATATTATTTTGGGGTATTTGGGCTAGTAGCTCTGGCCACTCCTGCATCCATTTTACAGGAAAGAGTAAGGACAAGGGGCAGGATTGTCAAGTTCCAACTTGGAAGTGCCTTTTGTACCTTTCTTGTTTTTCTACCAGTGGTTCTTTTTGCTACATATCCACATGTCTTAAGTGTTTTTTATGATGCACCCGGTCAGCCCAAATAATGGGAAGAAGAAATCTCAGAAGGGTGTAGCTGGCTGATGAGAGCTAAGGAGCTTGAAATAGCTATACCAGCTTCCCTTTAACTCTTTGTTAGCAATCCAAATTTAACACATATCCACATACCTATATTTTGTCCCCTTCCAGCTGGCTGTAGGGAAGAAGGTTCTCAGTTGTCTTGTAGAGAATGTAAAAGAAGATTATGGAGAAAGCAAAGCTGCCATTGTCTCATCTCCCCATCCTCTTCAGCTATATGTATATTCAAAAGAAAGGAGAATCTCTGGTTTGCACGAAATACTTATATGTGACATATTGCAAGATGTGGGCAGGGACACATCTGGAGAATTCAGGAATGGAAGCAACAGGCCTGATAAGGTGTCCTCAAATGCTTTCCTGCCAGTAGTTGTACCCAAAATGTAGAAGCAGCAACCAACGTGCATGGCTTTAAATGATTGATGATCTTCCCATAACATCTCACTTATGATATTTGTCAGGATTTTCAGGTTAGAAATGTAATTTCTTTATAAATACTGTTTGCTTGGTGAAAAAAATGGGAAAGAGATACTCTGGTCCTATCTTATATAAGGGTTTTCCAGAGGCATTGGTCACTGAGGAAAACAGGGTCTTTAATTAAACAAAGGTCTTTCATTTGATCCTTGAGGTTATCTTCTTAATGCTAAAAAAAAGTTGTACTATAACTTTTGAACTTCTGACTGAAAATCTACTGACCTTTTGAGATGCCAATTGGACTAAGTAACAGGAAGCTCACTTGATAAATCGGATGACCTCCAATTTAAATTTTCCCTACAGAAACTAGATATCTTGCCCGAATCTAATTCCAGTGAGAGATTGCTATATGTTTGCCGCTGCTCCTGATGCATTTTGTGTTAAATTTTCAAAGAAAAAAATAAAACACATTTTTCCAAACTTTGTTTCTTAGCATGGTATCTGGGAAATGAATTTAGAAGTAACATAAAAACATCAGAGAAGCCATAATACTTCATTTTGCCACTGTTTTCTAACATAGGCTTAACATAACTATTATTTTGAAAAATGAAAAACAGAATAAAATATACTCAA